GACAGAATCATCGATAAAGTGATGGTTCCAGATGACAGACTAATCTTTAAAGGGACGGCTCGAGTCCTCAGACTAAAACTTAAATTGATGGTTCCAGGTGCAATAAAATCTTTAAGTTTATTGTTCCAGCTTAAAGACTAATCTTTGAAGTGATGGTTCAAGCTCACTGACTAATCATTAAAGTAATGGTTCCAGGTGATAGAATAATCACTAAAGTGATGATTACAATTGACAGGCTAATTTTTAAAGTAATGGTACTAGGTGATAGATTAATCTTTAATGTGACGGTTTCAGGTGACAAACTAATCTATAAAGTGATGTTTACTGTTCACGTGCTAATCTTTGGAGTGATGGTTCTAGCTTAGAGATTAGTTTTTAAATGATGGTTTGAGCTGATTGTGAAAATTATGATATCTGATGACAGACTAATCTTTAAAGTAATGGTTCTATCTGACAGACTGGTTTGAAAGTTATGGTTCCAACTGACAGATTAATCTTTAAATTGATCTTTCCTGTTGACAAACTGATTTTTAATTTGGTCGTTCCATGTGACAGACTTATATTCCAAGTGACGATTCCAAGTGAGAAAATAATGTTTAAATTGATGGTTCTAGTTGATACACTAATCTTCAAAATGACGGTTCCAGTTGACAGACTAACAATTAAAGTAATGATCCCAGCTGACAGACTGATCTTTAGAGCGATGGTTCCATCAAAGAGACTAATCTCTATCCTCATGATACCAGATGACAGATTAAACTTTAAAGTAATATTTCCAGCTGAGAGACTAATTTTTGAAGTGTTGGTTACACGATCCATACAATCTTTATATTGATAGTTCCACGTGACAGAATAATTTTGAATGTTGGTTACAGCTTACAGACTGATCTTTAAAGTGATAGTTCGAGCTGACAAACTAATCTTCAACATGATTGTTCTATCTGCAAACTAATCTTTAAAGTGATTGTTACAGCTGACAGACTATTGCTTAAATTAATGGTATTAGGTGACAGTTAACATTTAATCTAACAGTTTCATGTGACAGTCTAATCTTTAAAGTAATTCTTCCACTTAACAGACAAAACATTAAAGTGATGGTTCTAGTTGACAGATCAATCTCTATAGAGATGATCCCAGATTATTCTTTAAAATCATGGTCCCAGATGGCAGACTAATCTTTAAAGTGATAGTTCCGTTTGATAGACTGATCTTTAAAGTGATAATTCCAGCTGACAGACTAATCATTAAAGTGACGATTTCAGCTCAAAGACCAATCTTTATCTTAATAATACCAGATGACTGCTAATCTGTAGTGATGATTCCAGTTGACAGATCAATCTTTATAGAGATAGTTACAGATGACATACTAATCTTTAAAATGATTGTTCCGTCCGACAGAATGACCATTAAAGTGATGGTTCCAGCTCATAGATTAATCTTTTTAATATTGGTTCCAGCTGACAGACTGATCCTTACATTGATTGTTTTAGTTGACAGATTAATCTTTAAAGTGAAAATTCTTGCTAACAAACTGATTTTTAAAGTGATAGTTCCATGTGACAGACTAATAGTCCAAGTGATAGTTCTAGCTGATTGACTAATCTTTAAATTGATTATTCCAGCTGTCAAAATAATCTTTAAATTGATGGTTCCAGCTCAGAGACTAATAATCACAGAAATGGTTACAGCTGACAGACTAATCTTAAAAGTGATGGTTACACTTGACAAATTAAACTTTAAAGTAATGGTTATAGTTCACAAACTAATCCTTAAAGTGACTTTTCTACCTGGCAGACTAATCTTTAATGTTATAACTACAGTTCACAGACTAATCTTTAAAGTGATGGTTAAAGGTGTGAGAGTAATTTTAAAGTAAGGGTTCCAGCTGTAAAACTAAGATTTAAAGTAATGGTACCGGATGACAGATTAATCTTTAATGTGATGGTTTCAGGAAACAGGTAAATCTTAAAAGTGATGATAACAGTTGGCAAACTAATCTTTAAATTGATTGTCCAGTTCACAGACTAATCTTTAAAGTGATGGCTCTAACTAACATACCGATCTTTAAAGAGATGGTTCCAGCTGACAGACTACTTTAAATTGATTGTTCAAGTTGAGAGAACTAATCTGTCAAGTGGTGGTTCGAAATGACAGAATAACCTTAAACGTGGTGATAACAGATGACAGAATAATCTTGAAAGTGATGGTTCGAATTGACATATTAATCTTTAAAGTGGGGTTACAGTTGACAAAATAATCTTAAAGGGATGGTTTCAGCTGACAGACTAAACTTTAAAATGATGGTTATAGCTGACAGAGTAGTCGTCAAAGTGATGGTTGGAGCTGAAATAATCTTTAATATGATGTTTCCATCTGACAGACCAATTTTTAAAGACATGGTCCCAGATGACAGACAATTATTTAAAGTGGTGGTTCCAGCTGAGAGACTAATCTTTAAATTAGTTTCAGCTCATCGATTGGTCTTTAAACTGCAGGTTTCACCTGACAAACTCATTGTTAGAATTATTGTTCAATCTGACAGACTGATCTTTAAAGTAACGGTTCCAGGTGAGAGAATAATCTTTAAAGAAATGGTTACATTTGACAAACTAACCTTTAACCCGTTGACTACCGGCTACTAACTTTCTTAGTAGCCAATGCAAG